CAGTGGTTTGGTTCAATCCAGTGGTTGAGTTCAGCTGGATAAACCCAACAGCTGGATTCAAATCTTCATTTAAACCCAGTGGTTGGGTTCAGCCTTTCATATAAACCCAAGAGTTGGTTTAAGCCCAAGGGTTGGGTTCAATCCTTAATTTACACCAAATGTTTGGGTTCCATCCAATGGTTGGGCTCAACACTTAATATAAACCTAAGAGTTGGCTTCAACCCTTCGTTTAAACCCAAGAGTTGGGTTCAACCCTTTGTTTAAACCCAACAGTTTGGTTCAATCCTTCATTTAAGCCAAATAGTTTGGTTCAATCCTTCATTTAAACCCAAAAGTTGGGTTCAACTCTTGATTTAAGCCCAAAGGTTGAGTTCAACCCTTGTTTTAAGCTCAACAACTGGATTTAACCTTGTATGGACTAAAGGGTTGATCCCAACACAGCCAAACCCTGCACCTGGGGGAGGTTTAGTTCCCAAACGCCTTTTCATGGGGAGGGACCCCAGAGTGTGCCATCTGCCCTGCCCCTGGTCATTAACTCTCTGCTTCTCTGGTTTGTTTTTCTCCATTCCAAGGTGGGCCTTAATGTTCTGATCCAGAGAGCAAACAAGTTTACCCCGGCCACTCGGCTCCTGATCCAGAGGTTCGTGCCATTCCCTGCTGTCGGTAAGGAAAAATTCCTTTTCTTTCTATTCCAAGAGGTGGCTGCAAACCTGCAGCTGGCCAGAAGCCACTGGGATGGACACGGCTCCTCCCTTCCTGCTCGTGTCCCCTCAGTGGTGCTCCCTGAGCTGGGGCAGGCAGGGATGGGACTCTGCAAAGCAGAATTTCGGCAGAAAAAACGCTGCAAAGCTGCTGGTGAAGGCTCCTCGGGCTTTTCAGCTGCACTTTGCACTCTGAGGCAGCTTCAGAAGTGAGCAGCACTGAGTGCTCCTCGACCATTCCAACCCGAGAGCGTTCCAATTGCCAGATGTGGGTTGAGCTGTGTCAAATCTTCCCGTCAGCAGCAGCACTGGGGTTGTTTTGCAGTAAAATGCAGAGAAATGGTTCTGCTCCGAATGTGCAGATTTCTGAGAGCCGCTGGTTGGGAGCAGCCCCAGGTGTGTGCAAAGCTGAGGCTGCTGCTGGCTCCGTGGAGCATTTCATTGGGCTTTTATCAGCCCTGTGCTTGAGGGCTCTGCCCTCAGCCTTTGCTGGGCCTCTGCTTCCAGCCTCCAGCAGGTGCTGAGTTATTTTAGCCCTGGAGAAATCACCGGTGGCTTCGGGGTAATTTTTTTTTTTTGTGTAAGCTTGTTTATTTACAAAGATGGTGCAAAAATTGCCCCAGCATGGAGGAAATCACTAAAAAAAAAAGGGGTTTGCTCCCTGTTCCAAAAGGTTCCTTTTTCAGCCATATAATACCAAATTTTCCTTTCAGGTTTTCCCTTTGCTGTGCAAGTGCCACATCCTCAGAGCTCTCCTGAGCCCCTTTAGCTGTGTGCTGCTCTCACTTTCTTTGGCATTTCTGCTCCTTTTTTAGCAGAGAACTGGTTGTGTGTCCCTCCAGCCCTCAGTTCTCGAGCTGCTGGATTTTTTTTCCTCTTTTCTGCCACAAAAGCATGTGCCTGCAGAGCAGAGGGGCAGGGATTGTGCTCTGGGGGTTGCACTGAGCATTTTCCTCGTACACCAGGGCTCTGTGGGCATTGTTGTTGTTTTCCTGGGACCTTTCTGGGATCTGTTTTAGGGGGATTCAGCTTCCCTTGGGTTTTTATAACCAGGAGAGCACGAGGGATGAGCTCCAGCCCCAGGAGGCAGCTCTGAGGAGTGTTTGAGTCAGAGACACTCAGGAAATCCTTGCTGCAGGGTTGATCTGCTTTCACACAAAGGTGTTTGTGTTGGCATTGATTGAGGACCCGTAATTAATTTGTTTAGCCTGTAATTAATTCTCCAGCTAATGTTTTATTTGTCTTGCTCCGTTACGAGCCAGGACATCAGGGATCCTCCCACTAATTGCTGGTTTGTGGTTTGCAGACCTGGACAAAACCTTAATTAAGATGTGTCTCCCAATTCCTTTTGAACCTCCAGCCCCCAGCAGAAAGGCAGAAATTCTCTATTTCTACATGGAAAGACAAACACCGGGGTAAAGCTCTTGCTCCAAAAGCCCCACAGATGTCATCAGGGATGGGGTTTAGGGTTGTGGTGGATCTGGCAGTGATGGTTGGACTTGATGATCCTAGAGGTCTTTTTCAGCCTTAATAACTCTGTGATTTTGTGAAATTAGAGAGTTTTCCCCATCCCTTCCTCGCCTCCCTCTGCACTGACCTCCAGAGCTGTGCTGGTGGGGGCAGCTGGAAAGCGGCAGGGACATCCAAGCTGGAGGGTCCCATCCCAAGTTGCAGCTGCTGCTGGGGTGGAAGGCAGCCCAAAGTCCAGCAGGGATGTTCCTGAGGACTCCACGGAGCTCTGGGAAGCTGGGATGGGTGCTGGGGGAAGCCTTGGTGCCCTCAGAGAGGTGTGTGTCTTCTCCAGGCCATGTGAAGGTTGTGTTTGCAGTCAGTGAACGCACACCTGCAGCAGCTCTGCATGGAGGACACCTTTAACACCAGCACTGCTGGGTCAGGCCCTGCCCTCACCCCCCTCCAAGGTTAATTTCTAGCAGCTGAAAACCCCAAATTGTCCAAAAAATACTGCTCGTGAGCAGGGGGTGGGTCCAGGAAAGCAACCCAGGGGAGCAGGAAAAGGGGTTTGGGATTGGGGTTGGGGCATCCTCAGGGGGTGAAGGGGCTCCATGGAAAAGCAGGGAAGGGAAGGAGGTCTTGGAGCCTGATTTGAGCAGGGAGGGGCTGGATCCTTTCTCAGAGGTGAGGAGGGGGAGGATCTTGGTGCCCAGGGGAGTTCAAGGAACCCAATTCACCCTTTTCTGCCCCAGAACTGGGTGTGAACAGCTGGCCCCAAGGCCAGGGTGTCACTGGTGAAGGTGTGCTTTCTACTGGAGATGTTCATGGCCAAAAAACCTCAGAAAACCCCAAAAATCCCATCCCAAACCTGATCTGAAGGAAATTGAAGCCGATGGAAATATTCTCAATGGAGAGAAGAGAGAGGGAGGAAGGATTTCTTCTCATTGGGCTTTTTTTTGTGTGTGTGTGGTTAAAATGGTTGTGTCTAGGTGATGCCCAAGGACAGATTTAGAGTGTGGAAAGCACCCTGGGATAGAAAAAAATCCCCACAAACACCCAGGAGTGGGGTGGTGCCTTGGTTTGGAGCCCGAGCCCAGTTTCCTCAGGGTGCTTTCACAGCCACACTTTCCATTATCACAATTTCTTCCCAAATCCTGCAGATGACTTTGTCTGCAGATATATTTATTTATTTCTCGCCCCCCCACCCTCGTGCATTGGAGACGTCCATGAAATCCAAGTTTAGCCATAATTAGCGGCGTTTCTGCTCTCTCAGGAAGCAGAAGGGGAGCGGGTACGTGAGCGGCTCCTCAGGCAGACGGGCTGCAAGCAGCTCCTGGGTTTGGGACCAGGTCAGGCAATCCAGAGCCTTGGAAAAGCGTCGTGGGAGCGTCAGGGCTGGCCACCCCACCCTGAGCCTGTCAGGAGCCCTGTGCCAGGGCATCCCTGGCCAAAGCAGCTCTGCCGGGCTGTTTGATCCGCTCGCTTGTGATTGACAGCGAGAAGGACGGGGCGGGCGAGTGTCGAAAACGAAAAAAAACCCCAGGGGCTCAACTTTCTCTAAATGAAAGGCCTTGTTTTGTTTTTTATCTGGGACTCAGGAGCTGAAGGGTTGGGAACACGGGCATTTTGATAGATGGGAAGAGTGGTCTGGTAGTTGGAATATTAAAGAGAGAGACAGAGTGTGCGTGTGTGTGTGTTCCTCTCCCTCTCGAGTGGAAGGAGCATTTGTCACCACAAATCATCCTTGATTGCACAGAGCTGCCTTCGGAGAGGGCTCACCCACCCACCACCCTCAAAAAATTAGACATTTGTTATATGACATGAATTGAGATTAATTAGCGAATATTAACCCATCAAGCAGTGCAGAAACACATTTTTGGAAGGCACTGGTACTTGCAGCAACAGTGGGTTTGTCTCAGTTCTGGGTGGAAAGTTTGCAGGGAAATGTGGTGTGGGGGGTGCTGGGAAATGCCACTTGATCAGCCCAAAAGTTTTGTGGGAATGAGCAGCTTTTCTCTGGGAGCAGTTGGGAAGTGCCTGGGCGAGGGGAGGGGCTGCACGTGGGAGGGTGGTGCTCAACCCCAGCTCTTGGTCAGAATCGAGAGACAGAATTTGGGGTCACCTCAAGGCCTCAAAAGGCTGGGCAAGAGAGAGGGATTAAAGGGTCCTGGTGGATGGAGTAATTTTCCCCCTAAAATGTGTGAAATCATGGAATGGTTTGGGCTGGAAAGGACCTAAAGACCATCTAGTTCCAACCACAGGAAAGGACGTCTTGCTCTAGACCTTCCCTTGTCGCCCCAGAGGAAAAAATATTGGTACTTATTCTCCTTGAGAATTCCACCTTTTTTTGAGGATCGCCTCAGCAGATTGAGGGAAGGAGATCTGGGGGGCTGAACAGAAGCTGCCAGTGGGACCGAGCAGGGCTGATCCTCCTGCCTTTCTCCTCCTCAGCCAGTGCCAATATCTGCAACGTGGTCCTGATGAGGCACACGGAGCTGGAGGAAGGAATCGATGTGTTGGACAATAATGGGAACATCGTCGGCTCTTCCAGAGTTGCTGCCAAACACGTGAGTACGGGAGCTGGGAGAGCTGGGACACAGCTGATTCCAGGCCCAGCACATCCCACGGCCTCTGGAATCCACGGCTTTAGGAGCTGGGAAGGGAGGAGATGCAGAGAACACGGGTTTGTGTCCTGCAGGGAAGTTTGGGGGCTGGCCCTGCTGGTTTGGAAGGGCACAGTGACAGGACGGATCCTGTGCCTGGTGCTTCCACAGAAATTCCTTGTGGGATAGCCAGCAAAGATCCCTCACACCTCACACCAGATGAGGAGGACTCGGGCTCGGAGCTGAGCAGCTTTTCAACCCTTCCCTGCCAAACCTGCACTAAAAACTGCCACCCAAAGCTGGCTGAGGGCAGCCAGATGTTTTTACCTCGTGAACAGCCGGGTTGCTTTCCCTGTAACCCACTCTGTGCCATCTGCCTGGAATTGTTCCCTTGCCATCCCCGGGTGCAGTTCTGGCTCCTGAGCATCCCCTGAGCTGTTGTTTCCAAGTGGGCTCTCAGTGAGATGTGAAGCTGTGCTGAGCACACGCCCAGGCACAGGAGTTAATAATATAATGCTTGGCATTTCCCTCCCTCCTTCTGTCCAAGGCACTCCAGAGACAGCAATTAATGTACAGCTCTGCAGTCCTCGGCAGGAACGGGGAGATCTCGAATTCCTCTCCATATTGTTGGTTAACAGGGGGATTAAAACAATCTGGTGAAGGGCTCAGAGACACGTCTTGGAGCCAGTTTTCCTCACTTCCATTAACTGGCTCCAGGACCCGCTTTCCCCTCTCCATCCTGATGGTTGAAAGAGAAAATGAAGATTTAAAGCGAAGGCGCTGTGAGAGCGATGTAGGTGGAGCTTCAACATAAAATCTGGGAGTTCTGGGAACTTCTGCTCAGCTGCCATCCAATCCCAGCGCTTCTTCCTGGATAGGTTAATCCTGGTTTTTGTCATGTGAAACGTGGCAGGTCCTCAGTGTGACACAGCTGTCTCTGTGTGAGGGTTGGTTGTGACATAAAAATCATGGAATATTTGGGTGGAAGGCACCTTAAATCCCATCCAGTGCCACCCCTGACATGGCAGGGACACCTCCCACTGTCCCAGGTGGATCCAGCCTGGCCTTGGGCACTCCAGGGATCCAGGGGCAGCCACAGCAAATCTGGGAATTCCAGCCCGGCCCCTACCCATCCTCCCAGCCAGGAATTCCTTGCCAAGATCCCAGCCCAAGCTCCCCTTTCCCAGTGGGAGCCATTCCCTGGCTCCTGTCCCTCTGTCCCTTGTCCCCAGTCCCTCTCCAGCTCTCCTGGAGCCCCTGCAGGGACTCTGAGCATTCCCTGGATTTTCCCTTCTCCAGGGGAACATTCCCAGCTCTCCCAGCCTGGCTCCAGCCCTGGATTCCCTCCCATTCCTACTAGTGATTCCTATCCCATTCCCACCAGTGATTCCCATCCCATTCCCACCATTGATTCCCATCCCATTCCCACCATTGATTCCCATCCCTTCCCACCAGTGATTCCCATCCCATTCCCACCATTGATTCCCATCCCATTCCCACCAGTGATTCCCTCCCCTTCCCACCAGTGACATGTGGCATTGCTCTCATCCCACGGGGAGTGAGGTGTGTCTTGGCCACGCTGCTGGAGGTGGTGGCAGCTCTGGAGCAGCCCTGGGACACGGGAACATCCCTGTCTGTGCCTGGGGGATCTGAAGTTCACTCCCAGATCTCAAAACTGCTTCCTTGAGGGCTCAGTCAGAGCTGGAAGCTCATTCTGGGGGAAAAAATTCCCATTTCATTCCCATCAGTGGCACCCAGCAATTGGAGTTCAGGCTCTGGCCAAGCTCCAGCCCTGCTCGGATGGGATGGTTGACCACAAACCCAGATCTTCTCTGCACCAGAAAGGGTTCAAGTGCTTTGGCTCGGCAGTTTGGCCCTCTGTAGATGGCAGCTGAACCTGCTTTTAGAGTGAGCTTGGAGAATCGTTATCCAGGCCTGATTTCCCGATTCTCTACTGATGTGAGGTGGATCAGGGCTGCAGGCTCTGGGATGACAGCTCAGTGCCACCAGCAGAGCCACCCCGAGCCCGGCAGGTCCCTCCTGGGGTTGTTTGGGATGTCTGGACGTGTTTGTTTGTGTTTGCTCTGCAGGCCCTGCTGGAAACAGCCCTGACCAGAGTGGTGCTGCCCATGCCTATACTGGTTCTACCTCCCATCATCATGTCCGTGCTGGAGAAGTGAGTCTGCCCCGGGGAAGGGAGGGAGGGGCCTCAGAGGGTGCCAGGCTCGGATGTTTTATGGCATCATGGAATGGTTTGGGTTGGAAAGGTCCTCCAAGGTCATCGAGTCCAATCATTTAATGGAATCATGGAATGGTTTGGGTTGGAAAGGTCCTCCAAGGTCATCGAGTCCAACCATTTAATGGAATCATGGAATGGTTTGGGTTGGAAAGGTCCTCCAACGTAATTGAATCCAATCATTTAATGGAATCATGGAATGGTTTGGGTTGGAAAGGTCCTCCAAGGTCATCGAGTCCAGCCATTTTATGGAATTGTGGAATGGTTAGAAAGGTCCTCCAAAGTTATCCAGTCCAACCATTTTATGGAATCATGGAATGGTTTGGGTTGGAAAGGTGCTCCAAGGTCATCGAGCCCAACCATTTAATGGAATCATGG